ACAGTAAAAGTGGATCCTTGCCTTATTTGACTGATACTGGGGGAAAGGATCCAGTCTTTTACCATGAAGTGTGATTTAGTTGCAGGGTTTTCATAGGTGCTCTTTATCGGGTTGACCAAGTTCCTTTCTATTCCTAGTATGTTCAGAATTTTTATCAGGAATATATGCTGGATTTTGCTAAATGGTCTGTGTCTACTCAGATGATCATGTGGGTTTCCTTTTTTTAGCTTGCTAATATGGCCAATTACTTGAAATAATTTTTGGATGTTAAACTAACAAACCAACATTGTATTCTAGGATAAACTCCACTTGTTTATGATGTATCATCTTTTATCAAATATTGTCATTATCTTTGCTAAACCTTTTATTTTACTTTGTAATTTTTGCACCTATTTTTATGAAGGTTATTAGTCTGTAATTTTGTTGTCATATTGTCTGATTTTGGTATCAGAATAATGCTGACTCATAAAATGATTTGAGAGGTATTCCCTGGTCTTCGATTTTCTAGAAGAATGTGTGTAGAACTGGCATTATTTCTTCCATAAATGTTTGGCTGAATTTACCCTATTACATCATCTGGCTTGAAATTTTCTTTGTCAGAACAGATATAGGACTATTTAGGTTATTTCTAAGTGAGTGAACTTTGGTAGTTTGTATCTCTCAAGGAAAATGTCTATTTCATCTCAATTGCATACTTTATTGGCATATAGCTGTTCATAATATTCTCTTGTTATCCTTCTAATATGTGTACATTCTGTCATGATATCCCAGTCATTCATTTCTGATATTGGTCATGTGTTTCTTTTCCTTTCTTGTAGATAGGTCTGCTGGTGATTAGTTCTTTCAGCTTTTTAAGTCTGAAAAACTATTTTGCCTTTGTTTTTGCAAGATATTTTCTTTAGGTATAGAATTCTAGGAAGACAATTTCTTTATAGTACTTTAAAGATTTTCCAGTATCTTTTCACTTGATTGTTTCTAACAATAAATCTGCCATCACCTTTTTCCTTATTCTTTTGAACATAATGCATCCTTTTGTTCTGGGTGCTACTAGATTTTCTCATTATCAAATGAGCAATTTGATTATGATGTGCCCTAGTATAATTTTTTTTCATGTTTCTTGTGCTTGGGGTTTGTTGAGCACTTTGGATCTATAAGTTAATATTTTTTTATCAAATTTGGAGATTTTTCAGCTATTATTTTTTCAAATATTGTTTTCTGCCTCCCCTTTTCTCTCTGCTTCTTCAGGGACACCAATTATATATGGCCACTTGAAATTGTCCTACAGCTTAATGATATTTTTTCATTTAAAAAAATTCATTTTTTTCTGTTTCATTTGAGATATTTTCCATTGCTATGCCCTCAAATTCACACAAATTTTTTTTTTTCTGCAATGTGTAATCTACCATTAATCCCATTCTTTGTTAACTCCATCAGACTCTGTGGTCCTCACTGTCCTTTATTATCTGATGTCTAGTTTCTTGAAAACCACTGTTTCATATATTTTGCCTACTTTCTTTGTTTCAGATAGCGTAATAAACCCACTTCCTATTACTCCATCTTGACTAGACATGGAAGTTTGTCAGCATGATAGAATTTTAAAATTGGAACTAACCTTGGAGGTAATCCCTTCCTAAGCCTCATTTTATATAGTCATGTGTCACTTAATGACAGGGATGCATTCTGAGAAATGCATTGTTAGGCAACTTTGTCATTATGTAAACATCAGAGTGCACTTACATAAACCTAGATAACACAGCCTACTACACATCTAGGCTACATGGTATAGGCTATTGCACCCAAATGTACAGCATAAAGGTATGTATTAGCAAAACTGCAAACTTGACTCCTGAATTTTTTACTTAAATTCTTATTATTAATAAATAAGAAAACCTTTTTGGGGGGGGAATCTAGATCAGTTTCTTTTTACTAATCAATGTTTACTGTATCTTAAAGATTTCTAATTCAATTTCTGATAAAAATCTAAAATATTTTACTAAAACATTATCACCACAATCAAGCTAAGGAACATATCCATCATCCCAAAAGTGCCCTTATGCTGTGCCCTTTTTATATTTCTCTCATCCTTTCCCCTCCTGCCCTCAGCAAACAATGGTCTGCTATCAGTAAAGATCAGATTTTCAAAGTTGTTTGACTATTCTATGTGTTCTGCATTTCTATGGAAATTTTAGAATCAGCTTGTCAATTTCTTTTTTTTTTTAAAAGCCCTCCTTAAATTTTGATTGGGATTGCACTGGACTTATAGGTCAATTTGGGGAGAATTAACATTTTAACACTATTGAGTCTTCTGATTCATGAACATGGTATATTAATAGTTCTCAATTTATTTAGGTCTTTAATTTCTCTCAGCAGTTCTATAGTTCTCAGTATGCTGGTATTTATGCATCTTTTGTCATATTTATCCTTAAGAATGTCATATTCTTGATGTTTTTATAAGTAGTATTCTTTTAATTTCTGATTGTGGCTAGTATATAGAAATCTAATTAATTTTTGTATATTGATCTTGAATCTTACAGTCTTTGTAGCCTCATTTGTTAGTTGTAGTAGCTACTTTGTAGATTCTATTCCATTTTCTATACAGAGGATTATGTGGTCTGTGAATAAAGAGAGTTTTACTTTCTACTTTCCAATCTAGATGCCTTCTATTTCATTTTTTCTCTTTTTGTATTGACCAAAACCTCCAGTACAATGTTGAAAATAAACAGTAAAAGTGGATCCTTGCCTTATTTGACTGATACTGGGGGAAAGGATCCAGTCTTTTACCATGAAGTGTGATTTAGTTGCAGGGTTT